CTACTGCTACTGCTAACGCTACTGCTGCTGCTACTGCTACTGCTACTGCTACTGCTACTGCTACTGCTACTGCTACTGCTATTGCTACTGCTGCTACTACTACTACTACTACTACTACTCCTATTACTCCTATTACCTCCTATTACTCCTATTACTCCCATTACTCCTATTACTCCTATTACTACTCCTACTACTACTGCTACTGCGGCTGCCACTACCACCACCACTACTACTACTCCTGCTGCTTCGACGACGACCACCACGACCATGCTGCCTATATATTGTCTTCGACCCCTATTTCTGCCTCTACGACGAGCACGTCGACACGGGGGTTGGCGACATGCAGACCCAATCGAGGGGCAGCACATCGAGAGCGACACGGGGTAGTTTGCAAACTTGCGACGAAAGGTTGGGTTGCCGCTGGCTAACTGCAACGCCGAGCTTTGAAGACGTCATTCTCAATGCTGTTGCCTTGGAGTCCCTGGGCGGCACTTACTTCACAGGAGCTCTGTGGCTTTGGCAGCAGCCAGGGTCAACAGTGGGAGGTGGACAATTCCGGATGCAATGTAGTGCAAACCTGCGAAGTGCTAAGGTTCATCCTTGTGTTGAACAACGTCATTTTCAGCACGGTGGTGCCTTTGCAGAGTGTCGTGGACACCCGCAACACACAAATCCTTCCTCGAGAGAAGGAGAGGTTTCCAAAGCTGTGACATGGTTGTTCGTCTCTACCAGGTAACCCTTCGACAGCTTCACGGGAAGTCCACGCCAGCATCAACGATGGGGAACATTGGTGTTGCGGCTATTTGTGGTTCAAAGCAAGTGCAGAGTCGGTAGGGTCCGTTTGCTTCCTTCCGAGCTGCTGAGACGGAGACTCGGCAAAAGACGTGAACTGGTTTCAGCAATACCCCATCGAAGGCATTGAGAAGCTAAAGGCCCTCTAAGACTCTACGTTTATCGATGTGCAGCAGACTTTCCTCAGCTTTGCCGGTAAACATGGATCTTTGCCTGCCAGGAAACCTTTCATGGCGGAGGCAAACAAAACCCGGAAACCGCTGTGTTTTGTGGAGCCTGCCCTGGTAAGTCCGAGGGTGAGGGGAGACCGCCAAAACTGGCAAGTGCGACTATGAGAGAGCACAAAGACCTACAACTTAGGACCTGGGACGAGGGGTTGGCACGTAGGGACTAGACATTGGCACGTCGAGACTCAAAGACCCCAACCCCTCAGAGAGTGTGTAAGAAGATTTCAGTCAACTACAAACCCAGGAACTTGGTAGAATCCCAAATGCAAAAACATAACTTTCTAATCGTCCAACAAGCAAGGGAAGTCCATTTCCTCAAGCCGATGGCACCCGGTGCGAAGACTGAGATCGTGGATGTCGTGGCAGCAAAGCAGGCCGTGCTTCGAAGGGTAGGGGCGGAGTTACAGTATTTCTTTCTGTTAAAATTACGCATCATATTACGCAGCATTTATTTTTCCAGCGATTCATAAGGATTCAGATTTTGAAGGTGAAGAGTTTAGGGCTACAAGGTCTGAAGTTGTCGGGTTTGGGGTTACGGGTTTCAGGGTGCTTTATGCACAACTGGCTATGGATCGTGTGTGTGTGTGTGTGTGTATCTTCGAGGGGCTTCCCGCGAGATTTTCGAGCAAGGTATGGAAGTCCAGTCATGAGAGCTGAACCTCCGCATGCGCAGACTTTCAAGTGATTGCACAAGTCCTGATGCAAAACAGGGTGTACATGCGGCCTTGAGGGTAAGAGTTGGGGTTCCGGCAATGGAAAAAGCACGTCGTAAGTGCCAGGATTGGGGTTTAGGCTCAAGGCGCGGGCCATTGGAGCTTTACGTTTTTGGCAGAAGTACTTGTGGCGTCCGGGATAACCCAGTGCGTGCGTAATTTCAGACGGTGGTGGACTCCAGTACAGAACCATGAAAAGTACGATCCTGAATAGAAGGACCCTTTCGCACGCACCTTTAGGAGCATACACCCCAAGCGACAAACTCAGCGTCCGGGGTTCTACTTCGGATCCCAAATTCAAAACTCTGCACCCGAAATCGACCCGAGCCTTTCCCTAATCCTTTACAACCTGAAGCTTTAAACTCTAAGCGCAGTCGTTCAAGCGCCGATTTGGAAACACTGTGCATGAATGCCTGGGCCGTAAACCATGGCACTTCGCAGGAAGACCCTCAGCCGGACTTGGCTGAAGGTCAAGGCGCACCCTTCCACACTTCAAGAAGCTTTCTTGGTTGGGGATTTAGGGGTTGAGGATGTAGTGGGGTTTAGGGTATTAGCTTGTGCGTGTATGATCGTTCTAAGTGGTTGATGTTACCACAGTTCCCTGTTTCCACACATATTAAGTGCCTGGATCCCTTGAGTAGCTCAGCCAGGCACAGCACCGAAGGATGGTATCGACCTGGAGATGTCCCACAGCGAGGCATCAGAGGATCTGGGAAAGCCAACAGAGCAGCCCCCCGTCCGGCTGATGTGCCTCGGCAAGACCGGCTCGACTCTCCCTCTGCTTGGAGCCCCTTTTTGTAGGGGATCCTTACAATGCCCCCATGATTTGAAACTTAAAGGGGCCGAGTATATTGCTGAGGTGCCTGGTCATGCTGAGCATGTTCCAGGGCTACGCCTCCATGGTGGGCCCCCTGCAGTCGGCCTACAAGCACAGACTGGGAATCAGTACCGATGGAACCGCAGCGGCGCATGCTTTCACCCAGGCAGCTGTAGGCGTCCACTATGGCAAGTTGATCGCCCGCTTGGGTCACAACGTCGTCTTTGCATGCCTCAGCCCGTGGACTCGGGTAGTGATTGCGATGTGCTTCATGTTTCTGGGAGTGACAATCCCAACTTTCCTAGTCTTCACATTGGGCTGGGACTGGGTAGGTTCCGTGTTCATTGCTTACATGCTCTCCGGCCTAGGGCTCGGAATTTTTGAGGTGACCTTCCTTAGTGTCATCACGCCTTTGGGCAGGGCCACAAAGGCATGGGCCATTGTAGGCTGCCCGATGGGTTTCGCAACCATTAATATCCTTGGCCTTACGGCAAGCTCCTTCGGGGTCGAAATGGTGTACATCTTCTACTACATCCTGGCCTGCCTGCCGACTCTCGTCCTGCTTTGGCAGGCGTGGGATGTGCGGGCCTGGCCCTGCTTTGATTTGTCAGTATCCTTCTTGACAGGCAAGTCATTGCACAATTGAAGAAGAGTACAGTAGAACAGAAGGCTTGGCAATTCAGCAGCAATGTTATGCTGTGATGTCATGATGCAAGACTTGACGCAGCCAAACGTCAAACGTCCTATCAAGGATTGGCCTGGCCATCTTCTGCCGCCTGGCACCTCGTGGCTGCAGCGAGCTGAAGACGGCCAACTTCAGCGCATCCCTGTTGCAGGTGCGGCTGAAAGGTTCCAGCAGTATCTGAGTAAGTGCGGGAGCAACGAGCAGCAGCAGCAAGCAGCAGCAGCAGGACTAGTAGTTTAGCATAGTAGTCGTCGTCGTCGTAGTCGTCGTCGTCGTCGTCGTAGTAGTAGTAGTAGTCGTAGTAGTAGTAGCAGCAGCAGCAGGAGGATTTGTAGTAGTAGTGGCAGTAGCCGTGGTCGTCGCCGTCGTCGTAGTGGTAGTAGTGGTAGCAGTGGTGGTAGTAGTAGTAGTAGTAGTGGCAGCAGCAGCAGCAGCAGCAGCAGTTAGCACCTGTTGTTTGATCTATGAGCACTTGACCGCCCAGGTCAGGCGATGGATGCCGCTTGGAGTTAACGTTACGACTCTGAGCATTGGCGAATGTGTGAAGTGAACGTCAAAAATCGTTCCATGCAAAGGGAGTTACAGGAGTTCTGATTTTTCTCTCTCTTCCTGCTCATGCTACTGTTGTTCTACAGCCCAGGCCAGGCATGATTCCTTTCTTTGCGGCGCAGTTCCTGAGCCACTTCGCCATGGAGAATTGGCCAGCCATTTTCTACATGTTCCATCCTCCCATGGTGCCTCTCTTTGATCCTCATAGTGAGCAGCACCTCATGAAATGGGGCCAGTTCTTCGCTGTCACTTATGTTTTCATCTTCCTGGGTGATTCCATTAGCCGTCGCATTGCTATCTACATGTCCACTCCTAGCTTGCGCCGGCGCCTAGCATACTTGGGAGTGGCGATGGCCTTGATCGGCATAGGTTTGTACCTGGAGTCCCTCGCAATTGCCATTGTCATCCCCGTGGCGATCTTCCTCGTGTTCTGGGGAAATGGTACCATCTATGGTCTGACAGCTAACCACGTGGACAAGCACGTTCCAAGTGAGCACAACTTGGCGTCATACTCTTTCTGGTGCTTCGTCGGTGACTTGGGCGCTATTCTGGGAGGAATTCTGGTGGACAACACCCATGATCTTTTCTGCAGGGGACACGAGGGCCCTTTCGAATGCTAAGCATGCTCGAGGTAAAAAAATCCATCGAATTCAATTTTGACATAGCTTGCCTTGGCAATCACGGCAAGCGACCGTGCAACGTAGGCTTCCGGGCACAGTCCTGGGTTTAGTTCGAAGTCCGATCTAATTCGTCATTCAGTAGCCACTGCAATCAACGGATTGCGGCCGCAGCTTGCCTTTATCCCCTTTGAGAGTGCAGGGGTCAGATCGCGAGCGAAGCCCTGCCCGATTGATGGCGCTGCAAAAGACGTGGTGCTACCGACTGATTTGTTGGCAATTCTCCCCGACATCAAACCATCAGATCAAACCACCGAAATTCGCTTCTGTTGTGGAATTGCACTAAGACCACGGACAGAACCTCTTCGATTGTGGGGTGGAAGCCCGTTCAGTCATGGGGCGAGAGGGCATGGATTACCACGGGACACTTGCCAAGTGATGGGCGGTCCTCAGAGCTCAGCTTGCGGTTACGGCCAGAAAGGTTGTTGCACGTTGTTGGCAATAACCAGTGACGAGTCTTCCCGGTCCACTGCAGGAGGTGCAACCGACGGCCAAAAGCGTGCTGGCAGCTTTCGCATGGGGAATTGGATCTATGATTTGGGTCCTGCTGTACATGTACTTGCTGCAGGCTGGGGTTGGGAGCAAGGCACCAATATCTAGAACTTGGTGGCCCAAGATGGCTGAAAACTTCTCGCGAATGCAGGCCGTCTTGCCCCAGTATCGTTGGGATGCCCGGCACTGAGCTTGTTCTGGCTTTCGTGCTGCTCGTAGAGTCTATGCTATGCTGGCAGCAGAAGCAGCAGCAGCAGCAGAAGTGAGCATCACCGCACCCATAGTCCATGGGCAGGTCTCTTAGCAATGAAGTGACAGTCCCAACCGTGGTCGCTAGTTAGTGGCAGTCGCAGTTGCAGTGGTAGCATTAGCAGCAGTCGCAGCAGTAGCAGGACTTGCAGCACTAGCCGCAGCAGAAGTGGTAACAGCGGTGGTGGTTGCAGAGCTTTGCTTCGTGACAGCGAAGCAACAACAGTCGTTCGCATAGCCGTTGTACCAAACTGTGGCCGTCGGTACATGAGCAGTAATTAGATCCGTAGATTGCATTGCCAAGGTTCGCGATGTTTGCATTGAGTTCCTCGAAGCGCTGCTCTGCACAACAGCGTGGCAGAGTTGGGGCACATGGTGCATCGGGCTCTAGGTCCAGCTCAACTCGATTCTAAGGAAGACCGTCGGCGGTCCCTTCGATCCTCGTTGGAAGCCGTCCTGAGCTGATGAGCGACAAATATCTCGACCGGTCTTCCTGCGTGTCCTGTTTGACAGTGCAGGCTCATGCGCTGGTCATGCATATATACAACAAGCCTCAGATCGGCAGTGGGTCACCGCATCACTGCGATGAGGAGGTGTGGTGACTGTAACCCCTTCCGGAAATTTGCTGCGCCTAGCCGCGGCAGTTCGATCCTGGTACCAGCTTGGCACAAGCATCAGGGAAAAGAAGCGACACCATTGTGCTCACTCTCGAAGCATTAGTATGATTAACTTCAAGAGTCTGTGATTTCCGGCTCGAGTACTGTCTCCTTTGTTCACACTTCGCTGAGCATGTACAAGAAAGTCTGGACGTCCCAGTCAGTCCCATATGCCCCGACTTCCGACGTTTGTAAAAGCCAGACCCTTCCTGCTGCGCCGTGTCCCACAACACATGAGGATCTACATGGCCTGTAATGCCTGTACATCTCCATGTCTCGACACATATGAGCGTTTGACAGCGTGTTGTTCATTACATTGTATGCTGTATCGTGTTATTTTATATTTCTATGTATACTTTATCATACCATACTGTACCCTGTTATGTTATATCATATTCTGTAGCATCATACTGCACCATACTAAACTAATCCGCTTTATGTTATATAGTATAATTGTAGATTTTTCAGTGTACTACCATTTGCAGATACGCTTTGTAAGCAGTGATGGGAGGGCGCGGGCGCGCGCGCCGGGAAAATGGGGCCATCTCGGGTGGTCGAGCGAGGGACAAAGGCCCACGGCTCCGACGTGGCTATCGCGGATTCTGTCCCTCGGTCCATCTTAACATATTATCTTATAGCATAGTACAGTAAGAAGAGTGTAGTATAATGATAAACCGTAGCATATCCTGTGGTTCCATGAATCTTAGGGTTTAGGATGCGTACTTGTAAAGCACTGATGTTTTTGTCTTGGGTTCCCAGGTCCTTTGGACTACCAGCAAGGCGAGTTGGTTGGGGGTGGGGGGTTCGTGGAGCGCAGGCCATGGGATTCGATGGAGCCCTCTTTCTTCTACGAGGAGTTTGTGAAGCAAAGAAGGCCCGTTGTTATCAGTACCGGCCGGACAGCACCTGGAGCACTGGAGGCCCTCTTTGGACTTCGGAGTGAAGCAGCGAAGTGGGCGTCCCCTGGCAGCGAGGGCACAGCAGCGATGCGTTCGGGCCCTGCTGGTCAGTGCCAGGTGGAGGTCGAACGTCGGGCCAGGAAGACTCAGTTTTTTGGCCAACAGGATGCTGGAGCCCGGGAAGTTACCACTCTTTCGCAGTTCTGCGATGAGATCGACGAAGGAAACGAGCTGGCATACTTGACAACACAAGCCCTCCCAGAAGATGCAAGGGGCTGTCCCAAAGCATTGGCGCCGCCGCACGTCCTGAACTTACTGCAGGAGGCAGAGAATCTTCGACCAAAGCTTGTGAGCCGGCTGGTTCCAGTCCAATACAACCTGTGGTTCGGACGGTCGCGGGAGGGCTCGTCGTCTGGCCTGCACCACGACTTCCACGACAACATCTATGTGCTGCTGAGAGGTTGCAAGGAGTTTCGACTGTTCAGCCCACGCTGCTTAGATATTCTGAGCCCAGTGGCATGGCTGCACACTTCCTTGATGCAGTGTTTTGCACTGCGAGGATTGGTATCATGTACCTCTCACACCGAATCTTCATAGCATGCCTCCACCACCTCAAACGACAATATCATAATGGGCTGGGGGTCCCCAAGCGTGCGGTCCAGCCTGGAAGCCAATTACGATTCATGGAAGCTTGTGCGATACAGCTTAAAGTGTAGTCATCGTATCAAGAAGAACTGTAGCTGAAGTTGCAGGTTTCAAAGTCGTAGTAGAGTCGTGGTGTTTCTGGCAAGGTTGGAGTGGTGCAGGGAGACGCCAAGCTGCACCCGAATGGCCTCATAAGTTACGTATCAGGTATTCGGTCGGACGGTGCGCCAGTGTCCGTTGCCCGGGCTTGGGGTGCTGGGGGGAGTGAGAGGAATGGAGTCCCGAATAGTGATGACGAAGAGGCAGAGCTAGATCAACTGCTGACAGAGGCGATGGAAACGGATGTCGATGGCAAAGGTCGCGAAACCGACAAGAGTCCGTTGCCCGACAGCTTCTGCCAGGTGAGCACTTGCGAAGGCGCCCGGATGCCTGTTCCAACCAGCCTCCAGGGTCGCCACATAACCGCCACACTGAAAGTGGGTGACTTGCTTTACCTGCCTGCCAGTTGGTTTCATGAAGTCATCTCTTACGGTGGCGATGCTGGGGGCCATTTGGCACTGAACCTTTGGATGGCCCCACCCAGGGTGAATTCCCCCCTGGAGAGACCTTATGAAGACGGTTTTTGGGAAGACTTGTACTGCAGCCTCGAGCGGGCACGTGGAGCGAAGACAGACAAAGACAGCGATGCTCCTGCAAGAGAAGCAGCAACACCGCGGCCCAACAAACCAGCACGAAAGCGTGCAGTTGGTGGAGCACCTTGGACGCATCGCAACTGTTTGCCACGACCAAGGCGAAAGAGTGTCAAAACTCAGGCTGGCAAGCGTCGGAAAAAAAGATGTCGCACCGCCTCCGACTACGTTTCGGCAGATTGCTGCTGTGCTTGGGATGAAAGTAAGGCAGAGTCATTTACCATAGACAAATCAAGGGAAGGCTAGGAGCCAGGGGCAGTCTATTTGAGCAGTAAGCGAGGAGGTAAGTAGTAGTAGTAGTAGTAGTAGTAGTAGTAGTAGTAAGGAGCAAAGGTCTCCTCAAAGTCCATCTTCCGATGGTGCACAGTTGGTTACTGACATAGACATAAACTTTAACAATTGTTTTCCAGTCCTCGGATCAGTTGACCTGGCCCGGCCACAATCCGAAAGTCCCCCTGTGCCATGCAGGTGAATGACTACAAAAGAAGCTTGCAGCAGGGATCCCAGCAAGCTCTTCGAGTGCTTTTGCTGTGCCGTGTCCACGGCTGGATTCATGAACTCATGAACTGCTTCCGTTTGCCAGGGAGGCTCGCGACAAAGACACAGAAGGTGTTCGGAAGATGGTGCGGGACGCCAAGCAGGCACTCGATGAAGTCTTGTCGTTTCTCGACTGTTGTGTGTTTGTCGTGCTGCCCATTCCATCCAACACCCGCTTGGTGTGCTGTTGCAAGTACACTTGCGATGACCAAGTCCATTTGCTTGTCGAGCCTTCCACAGGAGGCGGCGAAGTTGCGGAACAGCTTCGCCGCAGACAGGCCCTGGAAATGTTAGTAAAAAAGGCGGTCGGCAGAATAGAATCCGTCCCTAGATCAATTTACTATTAGACCCTCCCCACCCTTTTCTGATTGTTATTAAGGCCCTTGTACGCAGAGATGATGTGGACTGAGTGAACTCAGCATTTTGGTCATTTTGGTGGAGTAGGTATCGACATAGAATGCACACCACGTCTTTTGCGATGCACTTGTGCTTGACATGCATGCATTATGCTGAATTGGTGGTGGTGGTGGTGGTGGTGGTGGTGGTGGGTGGTGGGTGGTGGTGGGTGGTGGTGGGTGGTGGTGGGGTCGTCGAATCTCCGGTCAACGCATGCTTTGGCTCAACAGCACTTGTTTGCTATTTGGCGTCGTGCAAAGCCTCGTGCAAACGCCACAAAGCTCAGGCGCATGAGCTCAATCTCGTCTCATGGTTTTCACTTCCTGCTTGCAGTCAAGCATCACTGGGATGTTTCTGTGCCGCTGAACAGGTAGCCATGGGTCAAGCTACATCGTCAGCGGTCATGCAGGCAGCTGGCTTGGAAGTTCAGCTGAGAGTTTCAGAGCGTCTCCGCGCAAACTTGTTGCCTAAGCTTGCCCAAGAGGCTTGGAGAGTGTGTCTCGAGCAATTCTTGAGGCCGTCTCGGCCGTTACCGGCACGCCAGTTGGAACAGATCCGCTGGCGACGATGGGAAAGAACATGTTTGACGACAAGGCTCGATTGTCAAGTCGGCCCAAGTCCGGCGCAGGTCAAGTTCAGCAATGTCTTGTAATGCACCTGTCTCAACACTTTTCGACCCGGTAGAGTTCTGTGAGCACCTTCTGGTTGTTGTATATTAAGGCCTCGTAGCCTCGTAGAGAAAGGTGATGGCCGAGAAGCTTCCGGCTGCAGTCATCAAGCGATTTCAGGACGAGAGAAGTTTTGCTGTGCTCCTGGTTTAGGAGGCTTAGGGTTTATAATAGGGGTTACATTGAATACGGGCATAGGGCACGGAGTGAGTATTTCTATGTTGGGGTGGTGTCCGCAGATGTCGAGTTAGCCTAAGCGAACCAGATGCCTTTTGGCATTCGGCAGGAGTGCCTCATCAGTGGTGCGCCGACGACAGAAGAGGACCGCCTGGCCTCTAGGACTTGGCATCCTGTGGCCACGCCAAAATTGACGTCGAAATTGCTGTCTCGCTGTTTTTAGGGTTGTCCTGTCCCCTTTCGGTTTAGGATCTCCCCTTGCCTAGTGGCCTTTTCTGCTGCGACCCAACCGGGGAGAATGGACGAAAGTCATTGCCGACACGCCGTCCGCGGGGAATGAATGACAGTCATTGCTGACAGTGCACGCAATGGTGCCTTTCGCTGTGACCGGACGCTTCTGCTCCCTGGTGTCATGTGATGTCCGGCTGTGAGTAGGCAACATGCCCAAAACGCCTCGAGCATTCAGATGCTGAAATTCAGCATCCTGTGGTCACATACTTCAAGCATGACAGAACAGGATCAGAAGATCATTGCGGACACAATGTTCGAATGGGTTGCTTGCTCAAAAGTATTGCCGTGGTTTTGAGCTCTCATCCTTCTTGTCACTGTGAAACTAGTTTGTGCCTCCCCAGAGCCACAGCAGTGTCCCAGGCACGAGAACGTGGTGCGGTGGATTTTGCCCACTGGTTCTTCCCTTTGCGCGGACAGGGAGGAGCAGTGGGCGGCATGCTCGGCGCGTACAAGCAGGTACTTGCCTCAGCGAGCCGCTCACCAAGTGCAATGAATGCGAGCCGAGGGGAGCGAAGGGCGGCAGAGCGAGAGTCGGATCAACACCGTAGATTTCTTGTGCTGTAGTCACAGCAGTCACGACAGTCTCGTCCCCTCGTGTCAAACGGAACTTTACACCCTAGGGTATGGCCCTGAGACTAGTTGCCAAAGTGACACTCAGCGCAAGCTGCGAGTATCGCAGGACACTCTCCTGGACCTCGAGTTCTCTTCCAAGTTTGTCACGAAGCCCATGAAGGCATCACTGACACTCCTGTCCCGCACATCCGAATGCATAGTGAGTGCGGTGGTTCGGGATTTCTCAATGCCACGGTGTAGCCAAGCCTGTGGATGGTTTTGAAGAAGGTGTGATAACCAAACGGTTACCTCAGTTGCAGTTTGTTTTCTGGTTTTTGCAGCTCCCCCGGTCCTAAGGCCTGTTTGCCAGCGGAGCGACTTTTCCAAGGAGAAACTGACGGCTCTTCATTCCCCAATGGGGGTCTTCGTGTGACACATTCCGCTGCGGCGTTCACCACCTGGGACAGGTCCTCTCTGCCGTTTGTTCTCAACAAGACGCTGTACATCCCCTGTGCTTTCATCACGCATTTCGGGAAGTGCATCGACGAGAAGACCCCTCTCTTGCGGTCCATGGACGCTGTGAAGGCTCAAGGTCTTCGGATGCTGAAAGCCGTTGGACTCGGCAAGGATGCTCAGACGATGCATAGCTACCTGGGTTGGGAGCAGGAGTTCTTCGTTCTAGATGCAGCACTTTACAAGGCCCGCCCTGATCTGGTGAATACCGGCCGGACCTTGTTCGGCAAGTTGCCCACGCGCCACCAACAGGGCGACCTGAATTATTTCCAAGCCATTCCCACGAGCGTACAGACCTTGCTGGACAACGTGCAGGCAGCAATGTTGGAGATCGGATGTCCCATGGCCGTAAAGCACAACGAAGTCGCGCCGGGTCAGCACGAAATGTCTCCGGTTTTCCGGGTGGCTAACGTGTCCTGCGACAGCAATGTATTTTTCATGGAGACCATGAACCGAGAGGCAGCCAAACTTGGCTTGCAGGTGTTATTCCATGAGAAGCCATTTGCGGGTATCAATGGCAGTGGCAAGCATGCCAACTGGTCAGTGGGAACTGATACTGGCCTTAACTTTTTCTATCCTGGAAAGACGGAGGAAGGCAAGAAGCTTTATGTTTCTGGCATTGCCTGCTTGGCATATGGCCTGTCGCAGTACAATGCACCATGGCTGCAATTGTTGTCGGATCAAGATGGAGCTCTATGGCTCTATGGCATTCTATGGATTGCGAGTAGTTTGTACCGTTTGTCGCAGACGGCCGCTGACGATGCATAGCTAGTAAAGTAAATAGAGTCTCTCTGCATTAGCCAGCCCACAATTCTTTTCGCCTGTGCAGCTCTTCAGGAGCGGCTGTAGGCTTTGGCTGCCCTGGTAGAACGATAGACCTGATCATAGCATATCAGACTTGTCAGCAATGTTGCACCTTGTGTTGCTGTTTGCCTCTTAACCCTTATCATTGCAAAGCCAGGCATTGTCGCATCTGGAAGTTTTCCCGAATTAGGCCTGGAACTTGCCAGTACAGCAGTTGCCTACATGTCTGAAAGCACATGAATCCAGTCGAAAAGGCCTCGAACCCTGAATTCGACCCTGCACTAGTAGTACTGTATGTGTCACTGAGGAGCTTGTGCGCTGCAGCGTAGCAACTGCAGGCAACGACCACCGGCTCGGAGCCCAGGCGCGGGTAGCGAGGAAAGCAAGCTCAAGGTTTCAGAGGCGTTCAGGGTTTACGGCTTTGGAGCTTCGGGCTTTAAGGCAGCTGCTGTCTGAGGGTGCTCTAGGCCCTTGGCCATGTTGCCGTAGGGCCCGGATCCTATAGAAGAATCTGGGACATCCTAAAACATGGCAGCAGGAAGCGCCTCCGGCAATTATCTCGCCCCTTGGAAGAAGATGTGAGGCCTGGGCGTCAAGGTTCAGGGAAGCTGGCGCACTGCATTGTTGAGCTCTCTGCAAGGAGTATGGACGCCCTAAAGGCTCAAGAGTTCAAAGACCTGAAGATCCCTGCCGCCGCCCAGGCTCTATCCAGGCCAGGGCTTCGAACAGTTTGTCGATGCCATCATCGGTGGTGCAGACTTGCTGGGCTACAAAGCTGAGAAGCTGCACGGATGCATTGTTGAAAGCTTCAAAGATAGGGTCAGATAGGAGAGAGAGAGAGGTCATGGCTGTTAGCTGTGTGGTTGGTGATAACTTGCGATGCCAACGCTTCCTTTCCGTGTCAGTTTCTGCTGTGCTCAGCGTGATCAGTGCCATAGCGGCAAGGAAGCACCAGCAGACAGGATGCTCGCAAGCAATGCACATCGAGGCCAATGTGGAGGACCTCTTCATCATTACTTTTCTGTGCAGAATTAGCTTGGCGAGCGTATATGCTTTCGTATGTACCGTTATCACCTTGTTATTACTACCCTCACTACCGACAAGTTGCAGGGTAGTGTCGTCTTAACGTAGGTGGGGCTTTTTTGACTCATGTAAGGTTCCTGTGGGTGTAGCTAGCACCGGCGCATGGGTACACTTGAGATCTTGGCGTGAGAAAGGGATCGTCTCCAAGGCCTAGCTTTAGTGTATAAAAGGCCTCACGGTCGCAGGATTAAGGGCCTGCTGGGTATGGAACTTTTACATTCGTTTGATGAATCGAATTGGGTCGAATAGGGCTGAGGGCTCTGACGTTGGGAACCCGCTCGAAGGACAGGAATCGAACAGCACCTTTCCCATTCTGCGGCAACCGCTTCGAGTTTAGGGCAGTTGGCTCCTCGCAGAACTGCTGCCCGCCGGCTGCATCGCAGTTCTGCGCACAGATGTCGGTTCTTGATCTGACAAGCCACATTGCTTCGGAAACCTGGAGCTTGGCACCCGAAACAAGGGTGAGCCCTAAACCTGAATCGTGCAAGCGAGGGGTTGACATAGCATTCCCAAAAGTAACTACCCCTTTACAATCATACAGTCATACAGTAGAACTCTTCTTCCAACTGGTAAGGCCTGTAGATGAAGCTGCCAGGTTTGCCTGTCATGGTTTGTAACGCCATCATGGCGGCCGGCATGGCCAGCCTGGCCGGTCTCATCGAAGGCGGCATGAGCCACAGGGATGCGGTGGCAAAGATGTTCAAGGACAGGGTTTGGGGTTGGGGATGTTTGGGGTTTATGGTTTGAGGGCTTCGGGCTAAACAGAACTCTTGCAGGGTCTGGGGAGTCTAGGCTGATCGGAGTTGCCGGGTTTCTGCTTGACGTATCTTGGGGTACTAGGGTAGAACCTCTAAATATGGACACTCGGTAAGCTCGGGGGCTAGCGCAGGGACAGCCGGATTCCTGCGATTGGGCATAGGAGAACAAGCACGTGATCTTCACGGGCAACGGCTACTCGGCGGAGTGGAGGGAGGAAGCTGCCAAGCGAGGTGGGCCAACCGGTTTTGCACATCAGCCTTCATGCCAAAATGAATTTGAGAGCAAGTCCCGTGCCAATGCTGTCGCTGTCCCAGCTAGAACCAGCCAAGCTGCGCTGTCGACAAGCAGAACTTGCGGTTGAATTTCGCGGAGGTTAGCCGAGGAGCCAGGTGTCCTCGAAAGTGTCTACATGCACCCCGACCATGTTCCTCGCCTGATCCGTCGAGTGCGGGTGCAAAAAATACATGCACCCCTGCAACAAGATGTGCAGTTCATGCATGGCATTGGGAGGCCTGCCGAATCTGAACACCACGCCGAAGGCCCAGCCACCAGGGTGTTGACGTTCAAGTTCAGGCGCCAAAAATTAAAACGCGAACAGCATTGTCATCGAGAGCACGGCAATGGCAAGGAAATTAACGATATCAGTGGGATGCCGTGATGACACCAGTGAGTCAGTCAGTCTAAGCAGAGCGGGTTGAAGTTGCGACACATGGAAACAAGTTTCAATCAAGTATAAGATGTATAAGGAACATGCGCAAGGCAGCATAAGGCGAATGGTGGCATCAGTAGTACTAACATCGCAGTTAAACAGTCGTGATAGCAACTGGTAACACGTGATGTGCTAGAAACGGAAGGGGGGGTTGCTGGCAACAACAATCGCAGTCATGGCGGTTTGAGAGAGGAGACAAGACTGAAAAAACAGTTTTGACAGCCCTCACAAGCTAATAGCAATAGATGCAGGATTTCATCCTCTAATAGCGGAACCTGAACCAGGTGCGAAAACCTCAGGGGCTGTGGGGTGTGCGGCTATGTCCATGCATGAAGGCCGTCGTGACATGGAGCTCCGCGAAGAACAAGAAGTTGCACCTGGCCTGCAGAAACGTATACAATAGCTGGCTAGAAGTAGTGGGTACCCCTTGAATTGTAAGCCAACCCCGAAGGGTTGCAGCAAAATTGGCGGCTCCTTCGAACTTGAGGGCCCCCGAGCATTGAGCAAGAAAGGAGGACATGCGGATTTCATACTCGGCTTTGCATCAAGGGTGGACCATCACCTAAATCCTGAACCCATGTGGCTCCGATTAGAAGCGCTGGGCTTGGGGTCATGTTGTGTTGGAACGAGCCGTTGGAAATCCGGCCGAGGTGTTTCATGTTGCTTCATACTAGGTAGGGCTTTATAGGGGGTTCAATGGGTTCGGGAGTTTCCGAACAGTTTGTATGGGCAGGCTGACGGTTCAAGTTTTGTCCATGACCTTGCGTCTACACAGTTTTCTTTTGTTGTCTTGAGTACAATACTTCCTCACAGCTGGGCTGCCCAACTGCATGGCTTGTCATGAGTACACGTTGTGCTGGGTTGCGCAGTCATGAGCACTGCACTGCTTCACGGCGACGGCAGTTCTGGGCGAGAGAAGCCTGCTGCAAAAAGGGACGGATCTTGGTTTGAGGCTAGCTCATCATTTGTTGCACGCGTGTCTTGTCCAAGGCCTACCTCGCCTGGGTGTCGAAGCACCAGCATTCCATGCCTCCGACCCACTTCAGCCAGAAACCGCGAGATCACCATACCCTGCAAGTCCTACCCAAAGAATCCTTAGCGGTTAGCGCTGCAGCCATCGCATCGTAGAAAGCTCCCAGCTCCGAACATCCAAAGGTTCGAGGACTTGAAAATCTACACCAAGGAAGAGACCGAGGCTAGACAAGAGGCGCGCCTTTACTAAGACATCTTTGACGATGGGGCAATTGTTCCGGATCCTGGTGGAGGATATTATGCCCAGGTGGCTCTGTGCAATGCTTCTTGCACATAAAGACAAAAGTATACCTTGGTCCCAGAATGCAAGGGCACGAGCAGTGACATAGAGGCGAGAGGTAGAGGTAGGTAGGTGTAGGTGTAGGTGCGTGCGTGCGTGCATGCTTGCATCCCTGGCGCAAGGTCATGCTGGAGAACTACATCACCTGTCTCACGATCGAGGCACTGACCACAATCATCACTGACAACATGTGAAAGACGACATATCGCAGAGCTGTCGTAGATGATGGCTCTCAGTCTTACTGCCAGAGAGCAATCTACTGACACACTCCCGCCGTCAGTATGGCTAAAAAAGTAAGTGGGTTTCGAAGGCCCACAGGTGCAATACGATTATTTCTTACCCTACAAAATCCTTGGGAAGGGTAGTTTACAGATGATATGCTGAACTACTCTACAAAGTCACGAAAGCTAGCTCTGTGCAGCTTGTCCTTCGTCGTCGTCGTCGTCGTCGTCGTAGTAGTAGTAGTAGTAGTAGTAAGTAGTAAGTAGTACGTAGTAAGTAGCAAGTAGCAAGTAGTTGGAGCACGGCGTAGTAGTAGTAGTAGTAGTCGTCGTCGTCGTCGTAGTAGTAGTAGTAGTAGTAGCAGCAGTAGCACAGCAGTAGCAGTAGCAGTAGCAGTAGCAGTACTAGTAGTAGTAGTAGTAGCAGCAGCAGTAGTAGTAGTAGTAGGAGTAGTAGGAGTAGCAGTAGTAG